ATTGAAATTTAGTTTATATATAATTACACTTTAGGTTTGATATTATTTAACCTTATTAACCAATCTATAATTATTATTATAAAAAATTGAAAAGTCATGAGAGTTTCAAATGAATGTGGTGAAAGGAAAAATGTTTCCTTTATAATATAATATGATATGATGTTTCTTCAACTTTTAACATATTATACTTAATTTATTAGTTTTAATATATTGTTGGATGTAAACCATTATCATTTTAAAGATACAATTTTGGAACAATTTATATAAAATATTTAAATTATTAATTTGAATATAACATTACAGTGTCAACTGAAATATAAATTTTAGTTGAACTTAAACAACCCAAAAAATATTTTGTAAATAGTAAAAAGTGATTAATTGTAGTGTCTTTCTAATAATGATTATAAGTTGGTTAGTAAGGTTAAATAAATATCAAACTTAAAGTGTAATCTTAAATATACAAAATTTCAGTTTTAAAATAATATTTTTACTTCTACTTATAAATTTATGTCTTTTACTTTTAACATATTATACTTAATTTATTAGATTTAATATGTTGTTGTATGTAACCCATTATCAGTTTAAAGCTACAACTTTTGAACAGTTTTGACAAAATACTTAAATTGTTAATTTAAATATAACATTACAATGTCAACTTAAATATAAATTTCAGTTCCACTTAAAAAAAACCAAAGAATATTTTGTAAATAGTTAAAAGTGATAAATTGTAGTGATAAATGCAAAAAGTAAATTGTAATATCAATTTAACTAAATTATTTGTTGAAGATATTTTTATAATCGTTAAAACATTAAGCAAATAAATTTTAAAAAATTAATTAACAATAACAACAACTATAAATAACATTAAACATTAATTTTATTTATGTGTAATTCGCGGATAGAAGTCATTCAAACGATTGAGATTATGCACTTACAATAGATGTATATATTATCATATAATTCAAAATAATGAATATAGTATATATATCAATTTAGTATACGAATTATTATATCAAATTTAACAACAACGTTATTGCTATATTTAAAAAAACATATATTTATAAAGACTTCAACTATATAGGTGTTTCGGCGCAACGCGCAGGCATTCGCCTAATATATATATATATATATATATATATATATATATATATATATATATATATATTATATAAGGGTGAGGTTCAATAAATAACCATAATTAACCAAGGAACCAATCGTGAGCGGCGGAAATCATAACAATCAACGACCAAGGAAATAGATGTACACTTTTACATTGGACGCACACACACCCTGATGCGACATCGACCTCCGGCGAGTCTTCTGGTCTTCTGTTGTGGCGGAGATCTGGATATCACAGTGCAAAGTCGTTAGAGCCGCCCCAGGGACTCTGCCCTGAGGAGCGGACTCCGACGGTCAAGTTAGATCAGCTAGAAGATCTGAGATGGTCCTCCATAGCTGGAGAGAACCATCTTGGTGCTGGTGGTGGTGTATGGTGGCAGACGGCGGCGGGTGGCGGTTGAGCCACCCGGCCGGAGTATAGTGGCGGCTGAGCCAAAGGGAAGGATCCCCTTCCATGGAGGAGGTACTGTTCATTATATAGGGGACAATTAGGTCAGCCCAATTCAGGCCCAACTAGCAAGGAGCTGGGCAAGGCCGCCCGGAGGCGCCGGGCGGGGCTGGCGGGCGCGCCCCAGGCAGGGCTGGCGAGCGCGCACCAGGAGAGGATGGCAAGGGAGTGCCAGGCGAGGGAGCGCCTGACCGAGCCGGCATGAGAGTCCCCAGAAGGGCTGGCAAGGGAGTCCCCAGCAAGGGCTAGCAAGGGAACGCCAGGCAGGGCTGGTAGGAGCGCGCCAGGCCAGGCTGGCGCGCTAAAGCAGTCTAGGCCATGCCAATGGACCATATATCATCAAGTCCCCCCCAGTCTGGTGTTATTGGTACGCGGCCAATGACATCGGACTGGAACTAGTCATATAAACTGTGCGTCGTCAAGTCCCCCTAGTCTGATGCGATTGGGTTGCTGACAATCAGATCGGACTAGATAAAGCACCAATACATTTAAATAATAGAGAGAATGACCGAACCTCGCCCACGAGAGCCGTGGGGTTGTGCGATGAGCCAAATACTGCTTGAGCTGACTTGATACTCCTTCATTGAGAGGAGTGCGAGCCAATCGGTGCGATGCGGACCGAGGCTGCTAAAGAGTGTTATACGACACTGATGTCGATGGAATGTCGGACCGGGGTAGCTAAGAACCGTAAGCTTGCCCTTCAGTCCCTAAGACTGTTATGCGGCATAGATGTTGTGGTAGTCATGCGCATATGGAATGTCACCGATATCTGTCTACATAGTCTGCATTAATAACCGCCTTGAAGGTATTTCTTGCTTGGGCTACACCTAGCTAGATTCCCCCCAGTCTGATGTGGGTAGCGTAGGTAGCCGTGTCAGACTATGTTGTCGAACCAATAAACCGTAAGGTTGTTGACCATAATATAAGTGGAAGAGATTCCAAGAGCTGTGTGATTAGGTTGCTAGCGAGGGTCACATAGCGAGACTATTGTCGATAGCCAGACAACAAAACTGTTGAGGGATAGGCAGTGAGGCTATAGGTTGGGGTTGCATAGCAAGACCGTTTCCGAGAGCCAGGAAACAGAGGCGCTGTGGGGTACGCGGCGAGGCTACAGGTAGGGTTGCACAGCGAGTCAATTTCCGAGATCCAGGAAACAGAGATGTTGTGGGGTACGCGATGAGGCTACAGGTCGGGTTACGCAGCAAGACCGTTTCCGAGAGCCAGGAAACAGAGATGTTGTGGGGTCGTAGGTAGCAGGGCCACTGTCGGGATGACCTTCTTGCTGGAGAGTATCCTCACTATAGCATGATGTAATGTAGATAACAATTCATCGATCGTCCGAGCACAAGAGAACCATGATGACTGTGAGAGAGGAAGCACCAAGATCATGGTGTGGAATAAGCTTGTGATGCGCGACTTATGGTGCGCGACGATACGCGACTTATGTTGCACAACGATGCGTGACTTATGTTGCACGACTTAGGAGAGTAGCTTGAACTTAGCAACCAATGATCATGGAGATGTTACGCGGGAGAGCATCGTGTGGAATGGATTGGTCTTGGCTGCTAGTGATCGTAGATAGATCACGTGGGAGAGCATCGCGTGGAATGGATTGGGCTTGGCTTCCAGCGATCGTAGATAAGTCACGCGGAAGAGCGTCACGTGGAATGGTCGGAGCATGTTGCTATAATGGAGTCGGGCTAAGAAGCCAGGCGACTCGAGGCAAAGGTACTGAACCTCGCATGCGGAGCTTGTCGCTATAACGGAGTCGGGTTGAGAAGCCAGGCGACTCGAGGCGAGGGTACTGAAGCTCGCATGCGGTGCTTGCCACTATAATGGAGTCGAGCTGAGAAGCCAGGCGACTCGAGGCGAGGGTACTGATCCTCGCATGCGGAGCTTGTCGCTATAATGGAGTCGGGCTGAGAAGCCAGGCGACTCGAGGCGAGGGTACTGAACCTCGCATGCGGAGCTTGCCGCTATAATGGAGTCGGGCTGAGAAGCCAGGCGACTCGAGGCGAGGGTACTGAACCTCGCCTGCGGAGCTTGCCGCTATAATGGAGTCGGGCTGAGAAGCCAGGCGACTCGAGGCGAGGGTACTGAACCTCGCATGCGGAGCTTGCTGCTATAATGGAGTCGGGCTAGGAAGCCAAGAGACTCGAGGCGAGGGTACTGAACCTCGCATGCGGAGCTTGCCGCTATAATGGAGTCGGGCTGAGAAGCCAAGCGACTCGAGACGAGGGTACTGAACCTCGCACGACTGGGCGTAGCACCCTACAATCTATGTGTCTAGCTCGTGTGACCAGTCTGGGTTAAAGCGGAATGGTACCTGATGCTTTGCTGCCTCGCTAGTCGTACTAATAATTGATGCCTCAGTGTCTTGGCTGTTTGTAGAGAGCTATGTGGCGGTGCTGCTTAGAGCTTGATAGTGTAGCTGTTGTAAGGAGGTGCGTAGCGAAACTGCTGTCAGGAACTAGTCAGCAGGGCCGCTGAGGCCCGGGCAGCGAGCTGCTAGCGATAGGTGAGTAACACGACTATTGAGAGTTAGGCAACAAGACTACTGAGAGTTGGACCACGAGGCTACTCTTTCAATCCGGAATACTAATGTCACCTCGGGGAGGCACCATCATGCATAACATTAGCTTTTCATGTACTTTAACTCTGCTCCTTCAGAATAAAAATGACTTCTGCATAGTGTTGTGCCAACCCCCCTCCCTTTTTTTTCTTATATAAGGCGAGGAAAAGGGAAATGATCGTCATATAGCTGCTAATAAGAGCCGGGTAGCACGATTGTTTGTCAGACGACACAACTGTTGATGACTGGGCTTTGCCGCTATTGTGCTAGACCGCATTGCTACTGAGGGTCAGGCTGCGCGACCGCTAAGATCCAGGCGGCGCGGCTATTGAGAGCCGAATAGCGAGATTGGCGTGGCCGATCAACGTGAGTGGCGATAGCTGAGTAGCGAGACTGCCTAAAGCTGGTCAACACGACTACTGGTAGCCGGGCAGCGCTGCTGCTGAGGGTTATTTCGGAATGCGTCACGAGTAGTAGCGTACTACTCTTCTCCCTCCCCCTCTTTTTTTTGAAACGTTGAGTGGCTTTAGATGGTTAACACATCCTTGCGATCTGAATTTTGTTGAGCGAGATCGCCGCATACGAGTGTCGGGTGGCTGCTTGATAAAATATTTTTTGTAAAAATGACCAAATTAATCATTGAGGTAGGAAAAAAATATTAGATAGCCGAATTGATAGGAGCCCAAAACAAAAATGTAGTCTATTAGGCCCACGTCTCCTTTTTTTTTAATTTCGAGTGGTCCCGGCCGCAATGCATTTTCTGAAAACGTATTTTGTTGGGGAAAACGCAGCAGGAGTGGTTGAACGACTCCTTGGCTAATTTGAGTCAATAAAATAAAAGGTTACTTGAGAGGGCCCAAAATGAGACCTCTAGAACTCATTCCTGAATTTAGGCCAGGTGCTTCTTTCGAATTCTGCTGCTAAGCCCACAATTACTTCCCCTTTTTTTGTGAGTTAATTATGAGAAACGAATTAGATCTATGTACCACATGTGGGGCCCAAATCGAATGATGCAACCCAAATATAGTATTGTGACCATTTGATGGAATAGGCCCAACTTCTTTTCTTGTTTTTGGCTTTAATTCCCAGCGAAGATTTGAGAGAACAGGGGATCTGCTAAAGGTGTTGTTTTGGATCAGGTCGTCGGCGTCGAGTCAAGAAACAAGAGCCAACGGATGCTGCCTCGCCGGAGCTGGAGGTTCTTCGTCACCTGTGCTTAAGGTGGGTGGTGGAGTTGGATGTTCCAGATAGTCTTCTCGATGAGCTGGGACTGACCGGTAATGGCTCCGACGACCTGCTACCGGAGGAGTTAAACCGGATTTGGAGTAAATTGATTTCTAAGAACTTCCTGGTGAAGAAGATGATTCAGGTGGGGATCGGTTCCCCCTCTTTTCTTTTTTGCTTTTCTTTGCTGACTTATCAGCTAATCTTCTTTTTTTTTCTTTTTTTTTTTAGCTTTTGTCGACCGGTAATGACAGATTGTTGCCGACGGGGAACGAGGGCAGCTGCTCGGTGGTTCAGTGGGCGTCGCCGGCTGCCTAATTGTGGCGGCGATATGTCGTTCGGCGGTCGTTGACTGCTCTCAAAATGGTCATGGACCAGGTGGGTCGCCGATTCTTGGCGCTGGTGATCGATGATCAGAGGTTGCTGGGTCGGAATGGAGATGGCAATTTGAAGGATTCCGTTGCCGGCTAGTCTCGAGAGACCACCTCTGGGAAGAGAGATGGAAGGGGGTCGACCGGAGAAGGTGGTCATCGGACCACCGCGTCTTCTGTTTGATGGAGGCGAGTGAGACAGGTGGGGCCCACCTGTGGTCTTTTGTGTTTTCAATTGACTTTTAATAGTCTTCTGTATTCGTGGGGCCCTCTATGTAATTGACAGGAAAGATAATAGTAGATGGTATAGCTAATTACCACCTCCTCCGCTTTTTTTTGGTCGGCCATGAAACAACAGAGAGCTGTATACAGCTGTTGTATCTCATTTTTTCGTTGATATGAAAAGGAAACACCATTAAATTTTGTATATCCGTCTCCTTTCTCTTCTTTTTTTACTGAGTGCTTTCTTTCAACACTTCATCTCTACTCTCTCTTTTTTTTTTTTTAAAACCATCTACTGATGGTAAAAATCACTTTACCAGTGTCTTTACATGTATAAGGATTACAGCACAACTTAATCAAACTTATACACATAAACTCATTACTAAAATGAAGTTTTAATAATATATTAATTGGAAGACGGTAAAATTTATAAGAACTTTCTTTCTTCCCGACATTTCTCGTAAGTCATCAAAAAGAATGTCAAAACTGATAAGAGATAAAAATATGTTTTCTGAAAGTTTGAGAGGATAAAAAATTTATAGAAACTTATTTTCTTCCTTCTAGATTCTAAACAAATTAAATCAACTTGTTCATGGAAAATCACGAATGAGATTTTCTGAAAAGGTATGAACAGAGATGGGTAAAAACCCATAAAGACTTCTTTTCTCTTTTCTTTTCCTGAAAGGGTTTTGTAAAATGTACCAGCTACACAGCTGTATGTACAAATAAATGCTTCAGGAATTGAAGTTCTTTATAGAAAATCTAAACTAAAATCGTTTTTCTGTAACATATAAACAGAAAATGAAGTAAAAACTCATAAAAATTTCTTTTTTCTGAAGTTGCTCAACAAACCCCCAACATATAAACAAAAACGGATTTAAAAAGGTTTTTGCAAGCTTGGGGAATGTTTGAAAGGCCAAATGATTCTAAGACAGATCTGAAAAGATCTTGGCAAGAACCAAATGGTTCTTAAACAGATCTTGGCAAAGGCCAAACGGATCTGATGCGATTTCCTTCTCATAAAACCTTTTTCCTCTACAACTTGCTCAACAAGCTATCAAAATATGAGCAACAAACAGATCTGAGAAATTTTTGTTTCATTTTCTAATCTTTTAAAGAAAATAGATAGCTTTGAAAGAGTTTTGCAAAGAAACCATAAATTGAAGATGATTTCTCTACAACATAGACTGAAATAAAGTAACCAAAATGTTCTTCAACTCTCAAGTTGCTTGGATAAAGCACCAAAATATGAACAAAGATGGAGAAGAGCTCCTAAAAACCTCTTCTCTCCCCGAAAATATCAGTAAAAACGGGTCTGAGTTGGTGTTTTTGAACTTGAGAGCTGATTAAGTGAACAAAAACGTTTGGATCTAAAGATCTGAGCTAGAAATGAAGTAGATCTACATATCTGAACAAAAGGTGCATCAGATCGAAAGATCCGAAACATAGCTAATCAGATATGGGTAGATTTTTGACAAGATCCAAACGGATCTGAACTAAGGAATGTAGAACTGAACAGATCTGAGCAAACCTTAGATGAGAACACATCAGATCTGAAGGGATCTGGGCAAAAACGAGCTTGAGACCAACTGAGGCTTTTGCTACTTGCTCGAATCACGGATGGCGCCAAATGATGCGACATCGACCTCCGGCGAGTCTTCTGGTCTTCTGCTGTGGCGGAGATCTGGATATCACAGTGCAAAGTCGTTAGAGCCGCCCCAGGGACTCTGCCCCGGGAGCGGACTCCGACGGTCAAGTTAGATCAGCTAGAAGATCTGAGATGGTCCTCCATAGCTGGAGAGAACCATCTTGGTGCTGGTGGTGGTGTATGGTGGCAGATGGCGGCGGGTGGCGGTTGAGCCACCCGGCCGGAGTATAGTGGCGGCTGAGCCAAAGGGAAGGATCCCCCTCCATGGAGGAGGTACTGTTCATTATATAGGGGACAATTAGGTCAGGCCTTGGGTCAACCCAATTCAGGCCCAACTAGCAAGGAGCTGGGCAAGGCCGCCCGAAGGCGCCGGGCGGGACTGGCGGGCGCGCCCCAGGCAGGGCTGGCGGGCGCGCACCAGGAGAGGATGGCAGTGGAGTGCCAGGCGAGGGAGCGCCTGGCCGAGCCGGCAGGAGAGTCCCCAGAAGGGCTGGCAAGGGAGTCCCCAGCAAGGGCTAGCAAGGGAACGCCAGGCAGGGCTGGCAGGAGCGCGCCAGGCCAGGCTGGCGCGCTAGAGCAGTCTAGGCCATGCCAATGGACCATATATATATATATATATATATATATATATATATATATATATATATATATATATATATATATATATATATATATATATATATAGGGTGAGGTTCAATAAAGAACCATAATTAACCAAGGAACCAATGAACCAATCGTGAGCGTCGGAAATCATAACGATCAACGGCCAAGGAAATAGATGTACACTTTTACATTGGACGCACACACACCGGATTATACAAAAAATTTCACATTTTACAAAAAAACCCACCACTTTTTTTCGTTTAAATTTTTTTTAGGCCATGTTTTTTATCGAAAAAAAAACCGAATATACCATTGTTCACGATTTTTCGTCCTCTTTCCATAGAGATCTATGATGATATATAAAAAACAAACTTTTTTTTTCGAAAAAAACCCACTTCATTTTTCTTTGATGAAAAAAGTTAAGGTCTATTTTTTATGGAAAAAAATTAATAAATATATCAAAATTCATAATTTTGTACTTTTTAAACATAGATTCATATTCATGTTAAAAAAAAAACAATATTTCAGTTCAGATTCACATTGTGAACCTGTTCAGATTCATACTGTAAACCTGTTCAGATTAATATTGTGAACCTCCTCAGATTAACAGTGTGCATAATAATAAGTCAGATTCACAGTGTGAATCTGAACTAATCGGAGCTTTTTCACATTGTGAATGTTAAAATTTGAAATATTTATAGTTTAGATTTACAGTGTGAATCTATACTGATCGAGTTTTTTTTTTTTTTTTTTTTTTTTTGTGAACCTTCTCAGATTCACAGTGTGCATAATAGTAATTCAGATTCACAATGTGAATCTGAACTGTTCGAGATTTTTCATATTGTGAATGTTAAAAATTAAAATATTTACAGTTTAGATTCACAGTGTGAATCTACACTGTTCGAGGGTTTTTTTTTAATCGGTGTTGATGTTTATTAATAGAGTACAAAAAATTAATATTTTTGGTATAATTAGTTTTTTTTATAAAAATAAACTTAAATATTGAAAAAACTAAGAAAATTAAGTGAGTTTTTTTCGAAAAAAAAAATTCGTTTTTTATATATAATCATGGATCTCTATGGAAAGAGGACGGAAAATCGTGAACAACGGTATATTCGGTTTTTTTTCGATAAAAAACATGGCCTAAAAATTTTTTTAAATGAAAAAAGGAAGTGAGTTTTGTTATAATCCGGTACATCTGCGTCCATTATAAAAGTTACAACCCTTCCTTTTGCCGTTGATCGCTTTAAATTTCGACACTTTGGATTGGTTTCTTGGTTCCTTAATTAATAATGGTTCTCTATTGAACTTTTCCATATATATATATATATATATATATATATATATATATATATATATATATATATATATATATATATATATATATATATACATTCATTCTCCGTAATTTCTTACATCCATAGTAATAGAGTTTTCTATTCGTGAAAAACGAAGAGTTATGCCCACATTTGTGCCAATAATTAAGACAACCAAAGATGGACGTTTTGCCCACAATTATACCAACAGAATAAAGTGCTTAATTCATAACGTCCATAATTAGAAGAGTTCTTTATCCATGAAAAATCTTGAAATGAAAAAGTTCCAACATATCACCATATGAAAGTTTTTTTCTAACTTATTTATAGGACCCACTAGTTTTTGTTTTTATATAATTTTGTCTTTTTTAACAATTATTTAATCGATCTTTAGATTATAACAACACAAATCATTATGAAGAAACTCTCATAATAGAAGCCAAACATTTTCAAGAGCTTAGTAGATAAAAAAAACATTGTAAAAAATAGATGTTCTTATAAGAGATTTATTATGTGTCTAAGAGATAAAGTGAGATGTCTTTTTTTACTTGAGGTGATCTTGTAAAGTAAAGAGAGAAGAATACAAAATGACAAACTAATAAAGTTATGTGTTCATAATAACATGTCTTTGATGAATCTTTATTTGTCACTTAAATAAATCTGTATCTGTTTTACTATTTTTATCAGTGTTATAAAAATCTTAATTAGGTCCCGATTAATCACCGACTGATTAAAAGGGGCCTACCAATTAATCTCTGCCTACAAAATGAACGAATCAGTAGAAAATGATAAAATTTTAACCCTTTGAAGAAATTATATCTCAATAAAAACTATTTTATGAATAATTTGTGTTGTATTAATCATATTAAGCTATTTTGTTATGATATTTGTAGTATTTAATAACCATATGAACTACGCCATTTTTTTCTATTTCATTTATTAAGTCGTATAAAATAGAGTATATTGATGGCTGAGATGCCAGATTTTTCTTTACCTTGTTCACGTGTTACGAATTATTAATGATTAAAGTTACCTAATTTAGTTAAAATATAATATAATCTGATAGTTTATTGTTAATATAAGTATATTATTCACAAATCACTTTGTTTGTTTATATAACCAAACAATTGTAAGTGTGGGTGAGTTGACAATCTTGTTATGTATTTTGACAAAGCAAGACTTATAAAACGTCATGATATTATTTAAATAAAACCATTATTGATCGCATAATTATAGGTTATTAATTTCATTAT